TAACGAGGATGAGAACTGACTTGAGTAGAGAAAGGACTCAATGTTAGAAATAACACACTCGGTGAAAATGATATGCAGAGTATAATTCCCCTGCAGGCTTCTGTCTCCTGCTTATACACTCTTGGGTTAGAAAGTGAAGACTTAATTTAAGGAACTTAGGTTTACGCCAGTATTTCAAGTCCATTTACAGTAAGTGAAATATGCGAGAAGTTTTTTTTTTTTCCCTTTTTCTTTTCCCCTCCAGAGCTGTACGGTGACATCTTAATGTACCAGCCCATCCTGCTCTGTCCTCTCTTCTGACTGGCAGCATGTCCATTTACAAGCACAATTTTCCCTTTGAAATCTGTCATTACTGCCATTAATGACCAGTCGTTATGTTAACAGCCCTTGGGCTGTTAACATGTCAAACTGGTTGTTAACTGGAATGTTATTACTTATTTAAACCGCAGGTACGAGTTGTGTGAAATGTGCTTTGGTTGTGCGTTCTGGGCTGCTTCTGCTCAAAACAATGGGGAAACAGCAGAGCATTTGCCTTTGGGGTGCCAAGGGATTTGCTTTCTGCTCCATCTGCTCATTTGATTTCTGCATATTTGTGAGGTCCTCCTACCCCTGGGCAGCCTCCTAATTTCAGGTGCAACTGCATGCAATCCTGACTCTTAGCCTTGCGTGCAAATGGGCAGCCGCGGATATTTCCAGATGCACAGTAATGTCTGCTGCACATTTGAGATTAATATCTGGCCCCTAAAAGTGTAAAATGAAAGACCGACAATTACATGTAACTCAGTTGTATTAAATAATGAGCTTCCTCGGATGCAGCGAAAATATGAAAGTACAGCTGTGCTAAGCTAGTAGCAATGTAGGTCAATCACCCTTTTCACTTAGGTTTTTAACTACGCAAACCCTGCTGAGCTACCAATGACTACAAAGTGCTGTTTCATTCCTATTTAATTTTGGCAGCATTTTACTGAAGAGCAGGCATTCATGCAGCTAAATTATCTTCACCGTTTCTGGTTTTAACTCCAGCTCCATGACACTAAATGTTGGAGTGTGTATCTCTTAGTAAACACAAAGAATATGGTTTCTGATTTTTTTTTTTTTTTCAAATCCATCTCTTAACATGGAAATTGAATTACAACTTTTATTACTTTTTGCATAGTTTCCCTAGCCAGGCAAATAGATCACAGGAAAAGGATTAATAAAACTAATATATTGGGGTGGAATTTCTGCCCTTAAAGACATCTAGAACCTTAT